AGAGGCCGGAAGTTATTTAATAGCGGTGCGCCACTTTTCTGTCTTAGGTGGAATAACTTTTGAACCTATGTGCATAAGTATTCAAAAAAATTTGAAAGTAAATATAAAATTTATTTGGGCTGAGTATTTTTTTACCATTTCGCGTGCTATTAAAAGTGGTTTCGCAAAGACATGCCAGGTAACGGCCTCCGCGCAGGTTGGTGTGGTAAGTGAGCCTGGAAAATACGATACATTTATAATAAGCTTGAATAAAAAACGTCTTCTGTTGCTGCACACCTCTGTAGGCGAAAAAATTTGTCGTATCCACATCCCCTAGGAAGTTGTTAAGTGTTAGTTCGTGATCTAGAGTTGCATTAGTTCCAGCTACTGCAATTCTTGGTAATTTATTGAAAACCTTATTCAGTCCCGGATAGGATCTGTCGGGGTTCTGTGATATCACGAAGGTGGAGATTTTTATTACAGTTTTTTTTTTTTTATAAATACCCGTAAACTTACATCCACAATGCTAATTATAATGCTCAGCACAGCCAGACCATCTGGAAATCGGCTAGCCTCTTCTTTGTTACCGTACTTCATATTTTTATGCACAATATGAATTCCGGCATCATAACGGTAACCGTTTATAGTATGTTCAGAACCCTTAGCACCTGGCGAGCCCCAATGGAAATGCACCGATTGCGCTTCGTAGACACCATTCAGCAGACCACCGCTAATGATTGGTCGTGTACCACGAACAGTTTCGGGTATTGCAATATTCGCTATTGATAAGGGGAAAGGGAAAGTATATGGTTAAGTGTCTGATCTGCATTAGTTATTGGCATTGATTACCTGTATGCCCGTTATTTACCAGCATAAGTCTACGAAAAAAAGGCTTTGCGTAGTTTTTGAATTGCAAGGGGGGAATATTTGAGCCAATAGTCTGAAAATAGGGAGAAAATGAGGTAAACTTATAAAAAAGACGTTAATAAAATTTCCTAGCTTCTGAGTAACGTTTTATACTTAGCTAAAGTATTTGGAAGGTTAGACATAAAGTTCACGAACACACTCTACCAAACCACTATATGTATGTATGTACACATGTATGTATATCGGTAGCTCAAAATTCTGTATGTATGTACTAATTTCTTTTCCTCTTAAAATAGTTAATATCTTAATCTAATCTTTAGATAATTCGCATTAAAGTTTGATGGTCAAACCAAAAAAAAAGCCGAATCATAAACTGAGCATGACATAGTAAATTGATAGTTTCGGTTATGAATAAAGTTTAAAAAAGTTGAAAACTTGCCGAGTTCTAGTATAGCTAATACCCAATAAACATTTGGGTTGGAGACCAAGTAGAGATCCAATTTTCAAGTGTACCTCAACCATTCTCTAAGAAACTTACACATTTTTCGCATGCAAAATAATCTCAGTTCTCCACTTGAAAAAAAGCTTTGATATCAATTTGAATTCAAACTTTATTCAACTTTTAGTCAAACCTTTGGAAAAATTTTGCAAAAAAATGTTGTATATCCACTTGAGAATCAAGGAAATCTCAAAGATTGGCAAAAAGTTGGAAAAATGTTTGTTTTGTGCATACGAACTCCAAAAACAATAATGTAATGCCATTACTTACATCACGATTATCCAAATTTATCGGTGACTGTCGTGTTCCTCCACATTGTGGAAAATCTGAAATCCATCTACTTGCATTGCGGTGATCCCATTCAGTTGGAAAAGGTTGATTCGTAATTTGACGTGCTAGTACTAGCAAATGAAAATAAAAATCAATAAACCGTTTTAAATGAGATAGTCCAAGCAAAAAAAAAAAAAACCAAAAGAAATGATTAAAATAAAACAAAAGTAGTTTGATAGTTGTGCAAAATTTTATGTTTGCAATAAAAAGAGATAGAAATAAAAAAGCGTGACATAAACAGATTATATGTAGTTAAGCGTTTAGATTTATTATATTCACTAGCGGAGTGTGTGTACCAGAGTTTAACATAAATTCGCGTATGCATTACCAATGATATACTTGTACATACATATATATATATATGCATACATACATGTATTAGGTCACTGAGATGATGGTTAAAATGGAAAGTGTAGCGAATTTGTTTCCATTGCTTGCAAATATTTACATATCCCACGCTTGCTGGAAGACGGCCTTAAACAAAAAAAAAAAAAACTTTGTACTTATGCTGAAATGGCTGCTAACTCTACGCTTATGTTGTGTAAATAAATCAGGATTTATATTTTTTGCCTTTCTTCTAACTAGAAAACAATCTTTGACTAAAGTAATGAGCAGAATAAAGGTTTGTTGACAACGTTGTCCTGTTGATTAAATTTAAATATCTTTTTAGTTGTTTATTTATCTTCGTTCAAGGGCCAAAACCTGGCTAAAAACCGAATTCAATTCGCCGGAATATTTTTATTTTTTTATGTATGTTACCGCATAACTTTGGATCACAGTAACCGATTTTTAGAATTATTTTGCAACAGTGCAACAATACCATATAAGTCCAAATTTCAAACTTTGTACACAAATTTGGAAAATTACACAAACTTTTCATCCCAATTCCAAGTATTCGAATTTCTAAATTTATTTTTGGTATACAGTTTTATAGCTTATATAGTGACAGTTTGAAGTTGCTGAAAAATCGCACTGATTTTCGATAATTTTTTTCTGACGGTATTTTTTAAATTTTTTAAATAATACTAGCACATTTGTTCCTTAATCAAGCCGAGAGGACATGTCAAACACTAAAACACTTTATTTTGTTTATTTAATACTATTATGAAAGGGTTTTTTTTATGGAGGAAAAGAATTTGTTATAGAAGTTGAATTTATTAATTTAATGTTCATCATAAGCCTTGTCAGACTAATTAAAAATGTTCTACAATTGTCAATTTTCAGGAAATACACAAATTATTCGACAAGAAAACATATCGTTTTGTAGAATTGCAATATACCCTTACAAAGCCACTGCACTTTTGCCATAAATTAATTTTTTCGATGTCCTTGCGAGAAATCCTGTCGTCATATTAAAAATTTAAATATGCAGGTTTACTAGAAATGCGTTTATATATGGAAAACATATCAAATATTTCGCATTTCCAAAGTTTTCATGGAGAATATGGTAGGCTTAATTCAAGTTAACTAAAATTTCAACCAAAAGTCGGCACGGGTTATTGTTATCATACGGCAATACAATTTTATATATATTTGTATGTTATTTTGGCTAAAAAGCACAATTATAAAGCGTATGCATATCAAAATGTGCAAAAAAAAAAATTTACATATATTCTTGTGACCGTCGAATGTATATAGATATATGCATTAGGGTGAACCAAAATTTTTTCCTCCAGCCACCCCCCCGAATCTGAAGAATATCAAAAATAAAGAGACATGTAATGTTTTATTTTGAAATCGATTAATAGTTACACCTGCCGCCGGGGCTTTGAAGTTTCCCATGTATTTTACATGGGGAAAATACATTTTTTTGTAAAATTACTATAAATTCGTTAAAAATTAATATTAATTAATTGAATAATACTATTTCTCTTCGAAAGTGTTCGAAAAATAACACTATGATGTTTATTTAACTTAAAAGTTTTATTAAGTGTGTTTTATAAACGATAATGCTATCTGTTATATACAAAAATTAGTTATTTAATGTTTTCATAATAACATCACTCACGAACAGATCAATGGATGTGCTTAATTCTTTTTTACATTCCAATCAATGTATTCTGTAGGTTTGTGGCAAAAATTTTTTAAAATAGGGTTGCCAGATATATGAAAACTGAGAATTTCTTAAAGGTCAATAAAATATTTAAGTTTTTTCATCAAAACTAAAAGCGTTTGAAGATATGTAAAAATATTTTTGAATGGGGCCACTTTTTCTATAAAAATAGAACAATGATTATTCAAAATTTAAGCTTATTTAATATCACAACTTTAATTCACATATATGGATAGCGCTTCCATTTAACTATAATATAAATTTTTTTAAATCATATTACATGCTGTTAAGTAAAATAATACAAAAGTTGTTAAAATAAAGCTTTTACCCCTACATATTTCCGGATAGGGTTGGCACCTATCTAAAAAATTAAAATGAGTGCGATATATCGTCGCTACCATGTCAAACTATCGAATGTGCAAAAATGCATATTTCATCATTTCACTTAACTTACATAATTACCTCATCTTAGTTAGAACCGTAATTAAAAACATGTCAGTCCAAAGCTTAGGCATAAACCTTTCGTGTCGCACCCATATTATGGTATTAAATAAGCTTACATTTATAATAATCATTGTTATATTTCTTTTAAGAAAGGTGGCAGCCCTATTAAAAAATATTTTTACATATCTTCAAATGCTTTTAGTTTTGAGGAATAAATAATAAACTTAATATCTTATTGATCTTTAAATTTTGAAATATGTGGCAACCCTGTTTTTCAAAAGTTTTTACCACAAGCCTACGGAAAACATCGAGTAGAATGCAAATAAGAATTAAACACATCCCTTGAGCTGTTCTTGCGTGAGATGGGGTTATGAAAACATAAAATAACAAATTTTTATATATAACGGATAGGCATATCGGTTATTAAAATACACTTAGTAAATTTTTTAAGTTAAATATGCATCATGGTGTTATTTTTTTAAGACTTCTGAAAGCAAATAGTCGTATTCGATGAAAAAAATGCGAATTCGAACGATTTTATAGCAATTTTACGAAAACATGTATTTTCCCCAGGTAAAATACTTGGGAAACTCCAAAGCCATGGCGGGGTAAATATTAACCGATTTGAAAATAAAAAAATACGCTTTATTTTTGATATTTTTGAGTTTTGGAGTTGGAGTTTCCCGCTCCGTTAACTTTGAAAAATGTGTGTTTTAATTATACGTTCTCATTGGGATCTTATTTCAAATTCATCAAATGATCCGATTCCTATCACCTCCAACATTTTGAAATTTTTTGCACAGTGTTATTTAATAGGTCAAATCTGCTATTATGGCAAATGGTTTTTGCATTTATTTTTTATATTAAGTTCACGTAAAGTTTTTAATTTTTTTTATTTTGTATTCACTATTTGTATTGGGTTCACTTTAAGTTTTATTAAATTTTTTCAGTTAATAAAAATAAATTTTCACTTATTTTCCAACACTAAAAATATTCCTTTCACTGCTTTTATTTATGCATTCTTAGGTATGTAAGAGTTCAAACAAATCATTACCAGCCGACAAATGTAGCAATAGGAACAATGGCCTTTTAACGACCATTTCAAAACGCAGGTTAAAAAAAAAAAAAAACTTTTTAATAATTTACTTTCTCACTAAAACTTGGTTTTCACAAAAGACAGCACGAAAATTCTCGTTAAAATCGAAAGTAAGAAAAAAGCCGCAGGCATTAAACGAATAGCCACATGCTAGCATTGAAAAGCGTTTATCGGTACGGTTAACTAAAGCGTTTGTGGAGCCTGCATTCACTTTATATCCGAAATACCACAAAATAGATTGCCGTATTGAAGCCGGCTTAGAAGAGCTAACTTGAGAGATAGAATTCACAATCAGCTCCTGCTTCTGCCGAGATCAGACAAAATCAAGAATCTGTATATAAGTATGTACAAGTTTTTATATAAAAGTACAGTTGTATGCAAGTAAGTATGTATAGGGGTGTTCACGATCCGGTGCATAATGCCTAAGCGTGGTACATAAATAGCATGATTGGCTAATATTGTTGTTGTTTGATCACATGAAAAAACCAGATCGTGAATACCCTTTATGTATTTACTCGTATCTTCATGTGTATGTGCAGAAAATTTTAGGAGAGCAAACAAATCTGTTTTGCTGTGCGGTTTGCTCCAGTGTACGAATTCTGGCTATGGAATTGGCGCGACACTAGTGAAATAATTAATATTCAGTTACGCGTGTGTGGAAATACATTCATACATACATAACTACACATGAAGCCAAAAGACAAGATCACCTAATCCAAGAAGCAAGTAAATAAAACGTATATTTCTGAGCGTTTTTGACATCTGCCTAAGAATGAAAATAAACCAAGAAAACGAAAAAGGCGCGGTGGTTGAGTGCGATTATATTGGCACTTATTATAAAATAATAAAAGTGTTTTACAACCGCATAGCATCAGCACAGCTCGATTTTTCAATGTCAACGTTCTGACCACAAACGTGAACCCCCTTTTTATGCAAATTTAGCCTCTTGGCAAAACAAACTTGGTCCAATCACACATCACTTCATTTTATATCATAAATATGTAATATGTAAATCAAAATTTATAATTAAAATCGCTGCAGAAAACACATTTGATCGCTAAAAAATCACTTCGAAGAGATAGAAGACGATGTAAACAAAACCGAAAAATATCAAAAACGAAACTTTTTTTCTGAAAATCGATTACAAATACAACGCAGGCTGATCAGGTGATCTGTAGTCGTTGGTTCATGATAACTACACACACATACATATATATGTAATGTACATGTGATTGTGCGTTACGTTATAATCCCACAGCAATCGTCTATTTGTGTTCAGTGGTTCCGGTAGCCGAAAAATACGCGCCTAAAGCCATATACATACACTGGAGCCTTCATTTTTCACTCAATTTGATTAAGCTTTTTTTAAATGAAAGCTAATAAAATTAGCATGATACCGGGTCAGCGGGTCCGCTGGTTAGGTCATGTCGTTCGTAAAGACAGACACACCACCGCTCTGAAAGTATTCAGCGCGGGTCGCGGTGCTGGTAACAGTGGAAGAGGAAGGCCTACTCTGCGTTGGAAAAACCAGGTGGAGAAGGACTTGGCTTCACTTGGTATTTCCAGTTGCGTCAGTTGGCAAAGAAGATAAATGACGGGCGTCCTGTCTTGGACAGTGCCAATAAAAAAGAAAGGAGAAGAAGAGAAGTTGAGAAGTTGAGCCGGATTTTTTAATTTTTATTTGTTTGTTTTAGCTTTTTTAGTGCAAAGTACAGAAAAGTAGCAATTTTGAAGGAACTCGATTCTATTATTCCAGTACATCAATACATCATTTAAAACGAAGGACAACGTGGGGAGGATACTACGAAATATCAGAAACGAAGAAGACCTACTAGACACGGAAGGTGTATATAAGTTTAATTGCGAACATAATTACATACGACAAACAGAGCGCAAGGTAAAAACAAGATATTGTGAACTTATCAGGGACTACAACAAAAAAAATGCCAAAACCATCTACCACACTGGAATCGAACTTCGCATACCATATGGCAGAAAACCATTGTCCGCCAATGAAAATAGGAAAGACAGCCAAAGTTCTCCATGTACAGCACAAAGAACAAATAGAAAATATGGAGCACAAAAAAGTCTAACAAAAACAGCTTTAACAATTTCCGCACCAAATTTTTTTTCCATTTTTATTGGCCTTGTTATGTATTAGTAAAAATGGTAAACTCTAAACAATGCAATTTAAACGGCAATTTTTAGTTGTCTGTGTAACTAAACGTATTCAAAGTTGAGAACTAGCCAAAATTGCACCTAAAGTAAAAACGTCTCAAAGGTCGTCATGGCAGTCAAAAATCTTCGAAATGACGACCAAAACTTTAAGCTGGCAACACTGATAGTTATTGATTGATTAAAAGTATCCAGGGCGTCTACCCTACTACACATCTGCAGCCTTTTGGCATCATATTATATGGGAGAATTGAAGGGATTTCTGAAAAATCTGACCAGTTCTTTTGCGTACATGTGATTTTGCATCCCTTTCCATCATATGGCCTTGATTGATGTTAGCTTATGGTCTCTGTTTTACTGCCTTAAAATTGTAGGCAAATTTTTACAGCGTTTTTTTTATGTATATTGGTTTTTACTTGAATGTATTGAGAATCGGTCAGTCTTAAATGTCCTTTTCTGGTAGGATAGTCACATTTTGGATATATTCAAATATTCTTGGCACGAACGTATGACTTGTGTGATCCCCATCTTTACACACACGTTTTTAAACGCTTTTGCATTGTTGCTACTTAAATTCTATGTGGACGAGTTTTTTTGGGGGGACGGGGCTAATATTAAATGCTTTTAAAATGAAAGAAGCTTTCTATTTAAATGTTTTTGCACAGCAATATTTAAAAGAGG